GTCAAAGCTGACTCTCAAAATATTGATGGAGGGGATGCTATGAAGGCAGTATTGCTGATCATTTAAAAATGACTGGGCTGTCATGAAGATAGCTATTACCCGACTCTTATGTGACATGAAAGGTACATGAACCAGAGCTTAAAAGTGTGCAATTTTGAGCCAGCACTACTTCTGCCCCAACAATGGAGGGCATACCATTGATGAAATAGAAGATTGGTTGGCCAAAGACATAAACCTGATGATCTCAAAAATGTTATTTTAAAAAGTGCCAATTAGCATTCAATAAAGGCAATCATAACTCTGCAATAAAATAGCTACAAAAAGCCAAGCAGGATGCAATCTTTCAAATGATTAACAGAAAAATCAATGAGGATACAAATGACTATCACAGGTTGTTTCGTAGTCAGTATCTGAACAAAATATACACAAAGATTTCATTTTAAATGAAAATATCCCCTTATCAATTAAAAAAAGCAATCTTACCCAAGTATTCCATTAACTGTTCTGCTGTTATAATTTCCATCATAGGTGGAAGTTTAATCTATAATAAAAACGTGTATTTAAAGATCAGATTTTATGAAAAGATTTAAGCAATGAAAACTTAGATTGATCACCTCTTCAACATTGTTAATCTCACTAATTCAAGAGGTATAATCAAGCAAAAATTGACTCTGAACCAAAGGACGATGTTAGGGCATGAGACAAAGCATAGATGTTAAGAAGTATCTTAGAGGAGGAGAACTAGCCGGGTTCAGGAAGTGTTCCTCCAACTCTGGCTATTTGTGCATCACCCATATTGTTCACCCATTATTGCCCTCAGTTATGTAGGTCCCAAGCTCCAGGATTGCTTTCCTCAGAGCACTGTAGCATGGTCTTTAAAGAGATAGTGAAAGGCATGGTCCAGAGGTATGAATGCAAAAATTATCTTTTTTAAAAAGAAATCCAAGTGTAGGTGGACTAGAGCCAATGCATGCCACTAAGTTCAGTGATGTATGTTACATGCTACAAGTGAATACGTATCACCATGTATTAATGTACCATACTTTACATTTAGGTGCTATTAATATTTCTAAATATACCTTCCATTCTAAAAGAAGAACGTTCATAATTGCCAGCAATGGACAAGGGCCATTTTCATTCTGTGTAATAATGGGCGTGTTTTCGGTTTTCCACTTGATCCACTTAATGTGATAGACTGACTGTCCGGGGAATCTCTCCTTCGAACTAGATGGTTTGGCAACACCATCCTTGCTATTATACTCTTCAGTTTGTAAAGCAAGAGCCAGAGCCCGGTCTTCAGTTCCTTCACTGTTCAAGTCAGAGCTCGGGCAGGAGTTCAGATTCGAAAAGGACTCCAATGAGTCAATGCTTTGCGATTCTCCGGGCAGGCTTTGGTCACTGGCAGTATGATTTTTGTCACCCTCGGGGATTTTACTAGGACTGCTTTCCTCCCGGATCTGAGCGTCCGTCTGCGGCGGGGGCGGTTGCTGTGGTTGTGGCAGGCCAGGCAGGGCTCCTTTAGCTAAGTCACTCTCAGCCTCAGCACTCAGCTCGCCCATCTTGTTTACCAAGTTTCTCTGGTCTCCCTCTTCCCTCACTTTCTCCGTAACAGCGGCGTCCTGCACCTTCTCACTCTCCTCCCCGCCCAGGTGTGTGCCGGTACTCGGAGCAGCACTAGGGCCGGGGGTGGGGTTAGGGGCAGGGGCGGGGGCGGCAGCGGCCTCCCCGGGCCGGCAGGAGCCTTTCAGCCGCCCGCTGCCGCCATCGCCCCGAGTGCTCGGCGCGGTTCCGGCAAACTCCACGGCCAAGCCGCCCCGCTCGGCACCGTCATGACATTCCATGAGGCGGGGTGTGTGTGTGTGCGCGCGCGCGCTGTGGAGGTGGGGGGAGGGGGGGTGGTCGGGAGAGAGGGGGGAGGGGGGAAGGGTTTGGGGGTGGGGAAGGGGGGTAGAGGGAGGGAGAGGAGAGGACGAGCCGTCGAGCTGTTTACATGGAAAACGCTCCGAGCCGCTGACCGGCAGCCGCCATGACACCGCCAGCCTCCCCGTAACGTCACAGCCGACACCCGCGCCTGCGCGTCTCCACCCTCCCCCTCCCAGCTCTCCAGAATGACTTACCTGTTTGCTGCAACCCAGGGAAAAAAAACAAGTGCTGGCTGGAAAATTATAAAGGATGCTTTCAAACGAATATCATGCAGGTAGAGGTTCCATTCGAACTAGAGTTCAGTAGCTCCCAGAAGAAGTCTCCGCAGATTACAGAAATAAACAGCAGAGACACTATGTTTTCTTCAATTAAATTCACACTTTTTCAGTGATTTGTGCAAAATTATATGCTTTCCTGAAGAATGCTACGAATTATTCTTCGCAGTGTTGCATCGGACAACAGTGTCCCTAATTAATGTAAAAAGGAAAACAAAGGCCCATTATCTGGCAGGAAATTATCTTTGGTGGTTGTAGGCATGCGCCCTCGTAACCCTGTTGCTTTCTTAAAGGAACATTGACAAGAAACTGTACTTACCTCTGTACATCTACAAAAAGATGTGAGACTGAGTTTCGCTGCTTTTGATGACATCCACGCGTTAGAACAATTGTAAACATCATTGTTAAAAAAAAAATTGATCTGAAGTCACGGTTAAGGGTTGTGTGTTCAAGACTCACTCGAGAACTGAGTGCACGATCTGAGCTGATACTTCAGTGTAATCCTTGGTAAAACGTATCCTTCAACCAAATTCTGGTCATTAATTACATTGCAGCTTGTGAAAACTTCGCCGACTCCAAATTCATGATGACAATTTGTACATTTGGAATTTTATTGTTCTTGCCTATGAGTCACAAGTCTTACTCTGGAATTATAAATATAAAATACTGCTGCTACTTGAGTTGAGTACAGGGTAAGTACTATCTGTCACGGGTGCTGACTTTTCGATGAAATGTTAAACTGACGCACCATCTGCTCTCTCAACTGGATGTAGGAGATTAAAAAACACTATTGCACAGAAGAGCAGGAGAATTGTCTCGGCTCTCCTGGCCAACAATTAAACCTCAATGAACAATGAGAAAAGAGGTCACCTGGTCTTTGCTGTTTTGGAAGCTTGCAGTGGGCAAATTGAATATTATGTTCCCTATATTGCAAAAGTCTACGCATCAAAATTACTTCACTGGCTGTAAAACACTTTGGAACATCCAGTAGTCATGAAAAATGCTACATTAATGCAAATCTTTCTATGAGAACGGTGACTGCACTTCAAAAGTTTGTAAGTGATTGTTAAGCACTTTGGAATGTTATTAAATTAAGTGTAAATGGAAGAGATAGTAAGAACTGCCAATGCTGTAGTCTGAATTTTCTGAAGAAGGGTCCCGACCCGAAACGTCAGCTTTCCTGCTCCTCTGATGCTGCCTGGCCTGCTGTGTTCCTCTAGCTCCACACTGTGTTTTCTATAGTGTAAATGGAAGTCTTTTTTTCATCTCTTTCGCTTTCACAGATTTAAATTCAGCCTAATTCAAGGGGATTGAAATTTTCTTCTTTCAGATGTTTGTATAAATCTTCAACAAAATCATTTGTAAACCATTCCTGCAAGGGTTAGCACCAAATTACATTTTTATTCAGATTACCGTGGTTAGTGCAGGTAACTTTAACCAGTGCAGCCAGGTCTGTTTCTTTGAGAATATGGTTAAGACCTGTTCTTTAATCAAGCAAATTGAGCTTTGCTATTTCTCTGACCAATGATAATTAACCTTTTTTTCTTGACAATGATATAGGGTGGAAAATGTGTACCATTCATTCACTGTTATGTGAAAAACTCTACCATTGTATTTCTTGTAGTCAGTGAAATAAAAGATATAGCAATTAGCAATTTCACTGCCAACATTACCTTCTATATTTGTGAACAAAATTTATTGTATTTAACATCTTCAAAATAATTTTAAATATGCATAGAAATGCTTCTCCTTGTATACTAATGTCACAGCAATTAATGTTGAAATTTAACTTTTCCACAGCTTAGGTGCAAAACAAGCAATACTCACTTTCAAAATGTTCCTAAAAGAGCATTCCATAATTATCATAGTTTTCAAAAAAACATTCTTCTTTATTCTATCCAAAAACTAAAATCAATGGACATAAGCAACAAGGCAATTTGATTTGTGCCTTCATTGCACATCAAAATAATTTACTCACAGTACTTGCTCGGATATGGTATGGAGCACCTGGATGAGAATTTTTACACAGTGTCCCAAATGATGCATTTTCCATTTGCAGCACTCCCATCTGGAGAGCTGATAAAAGGATTGATGCTTCCCAACAAGGAAATGCAAACATCAAGAATGTTAATCTAAACTGCAGTCATGCATCTCCTACTGTTTGATTCAAGAATGGCATTGACAGTGACCTGATTACAAATCACTTGTACAGCTTCCTGCCTGGGAAATTGTGCATGGGATGAAAAGTAACTGTACAAAACTGATTCTATTTCTCAGTGTAGTATAAATGTTTAACATTTTACTGCAAACATTTTAAAATACCAATAACAAAATTTTACAATGTTTACAATAACACAGTGAAAAAAGCTTTGAAACTGAGAAAAGTAACAAAAAGTAATAAAACATTGCAGTAGACACTGGATAATGTTGGTAAGCATATTACATTGATGAACAAAGATTGTTATACTTGTTAATTTGCTTTGTCTACAATGTTGAAATTCATCTGGTCTAAGTATTCTAACCTCTTGTTCATTCCCATCAGCATTGCTTTCTTAGTCAGAGGTGTTTTATCATCTTGTATAATTATTTCTGTTTTCATTTTCATCTACCCACAGATCTTAAGATTATGAGAAATGCACATTTTAACTAACTGTCCGAAGGGCTCATTGATGACATTGCAACATTTAATGTGGATTTTTATAAAAATTTCAGAAAAATTAAAGAATATTAAATTGTTTTAAATATGCTTGGCAATGATGAGCTTCACTGTCTCTTCGTATTGATCTTGTTGAAACATACAGGATTCTGAGGGGGCTTAACAGGGTAGATGTTGAGAAGATATTTCAAATTCGGGATAGAGTTACAGAATTAGGGAACAATCATTTAAATATGAGATACAAGGAGATTCTTCCAGAAAGTAGTCAATATCTGGCCTTCTCTACCCCAGTGATTTGAGGAGGCTAAATCACTGAAAGTATTTAAAGAGGAAGTAGATAGATTTTGGAACTACCAGGTACTTGAGGGCAATAATGAGCTGGTACGAAAGAGGAGTTGAAGCCTGTGTGGATTAGTTATCATTTTGTTGAATGATGAGGCAATTTTGAGGAGCCAAAGGCCTTCTCCTGCTCCAATTTTTTGTATTTTATGTTTCTTTCTGGAGCAACTTCCCTGGGGATATGGAGGTCAGTCTACATACCCTAACTCGGTTGCAATCAACGAACAGCACAGATAGGTTAAAAAAAAGTGGTTGGAACTGAAATGGTTTGATCAAGATGATTCGGTCCCATACCAAATGATTACCTGCAAATGAAGTCATCAACAGAAACTGGCAAACATTACGTTCGCAGCAGCTGATAGAAAAGTTGAAATACTGATTGGTAAATTATAGTGAAAATATTTATTGGTATCCTGTAGAATTATGCCATGCATACAGTAGCTGAAGATAAATGTTCAATAAATTCTTACAGAATTCCTTCCTTTACTATGATAGCAGGAGTGTAAATTCATCTGTTTTAAATATTTGACACCAATTTGAGGCAGTGAATTGCTTGTATGCTTTTGCGGGCATAATAAACTTGAGTGTAATCTTGATGAATCATTAAGTCATTTTAGTCTTTTAATTAAATTAAAAATGGCCATTATTTTGGCAAAATTAATCTGTTTCTCTCTTTACCACTTCACAGATACTTTCAGACCTGCTCAATTTATCTAGTATTTCTGGTTTTGTTTTAGATTTCTAGCATCTATACAATTTTCACAGAATCCCTGCAGTTCAGATAGAGGCCATGTGGCCCATCAAGTCTGCACCAACTCAACAAAGAGCATCACAGCTCATGCCCATAACCCCGCATTTACTATGACTAATCCACCTAGCTTCCACAACCCTGGACACTACATTGTAATTTAGCATGGCCATTCCACCTAACTTCTGTGGATTGTGGAAGGAAGCCAGAGCAAAGAAACCAGCAGAAACTCGCAGAAACTCACACAGACACAGGAAGAACGAGCAAATTCCACACAGACAATTGCCTGAGGTGGAATTGAACCCAGGTCTCTGATTTTGTGAGGTAACAGTGCTAAACACTGAGCCACTGTACTGCATTTTGCTTTTCTTTCTTTTGATCTGATTGGTTTTGTGCAGTAGAATAGATACAAATCTAATTTATTCAAAGTTCAAAGGAACATTGGTGTCATGTTGCTATGACTGCAAACATTAAAAAAAATCAAAAACATCAGTCTGACTTGCAATATCTGATTTTTGAATGATGAGTAACATAAATTGTCTCCTAAGCCTCACAAACTGAATGATCGTACAGAACATAGCAGGTTTTTGTAGCTTTCCAGTGGACCTAAGATTTTGTCATGAACAAATGTTTAACCAGTGAGTTATCTACATATTTTTGAAATCTCATGTTTGTAGTATTGATGAATTTAGTTTTGACACAGTTTTAAAAAAAGTCCGGTATCTTACTGGAGAATAAATTCTGAAGTTTTATTCCATATGTAGGTTTCATGAGTAAATAACATAGTTTTTCTGGTGTCAAATGTAGTTTTAATTGTATGTATGAATAAACATGCAATCAAAGTTATTTTTGAAATGTATTCATCTTTGAATATTGTAGTAAATGTACCGGATACCTCAAATGCTGCACCAGTTCCGTCTTTCAAATTAATATATCTCTATACAACTGCAAAGTTATTCAACACAATGAAAATTATAATTTCCCTCATGAATATTGTAATCCTGTGTACTCCTAAATCTGTGACATGTTTCAGAAAAAAATTATCTTACCTATTGAAGCACATAATTAGAGAATTGGCTCCCTGAACCAGTATACTGCATTAGCTCAAAT